GTGAAAAGGGTTCTACATTCTCCTTTCTCCAACCATGCGCTCCTACTTCTCCCTCCCCAAATCGTTGGAGCCAAGTCCGATGGCTCCGGGGACCCAGTGTCGCGAGAACTCATCAGCACCACGGAACAGAACGAGTCTTTTTCCTCGCAGACCCTGGGGTGGGTCTAATGCCCCCTCATTTGAGATGAACAACCGAAAGAGAGAGAATGTCGGATTTATGAAGAGGGCGCCAATCGCAGATCCGCAAAGGGTACAGATTCGATCGAAGCACGATCAATGGAGAGAAAGCCTGAACAAATTTACCCCATTGGTGTGCAGTCTGGAGACCAGCCAACAATCAGTGTGCACCGTTGAAGCTCAATAACTTATCGATTTCACATAATACCGAGAGTGTGCAAGAGAGGGAGGCGCTCAGGTTGTATGTCGGAACTGGTGCCGTGTTCAGAAAATTCGTCTGATCCGAGAGTACACCTTCTCAGGGCTGGGGCAGAAGGATCACACTGCATGGCCTGGTTTTGTGGGCCAGACCATTTTTGAGTGTGTCACAACGACACATGTCTGGACTCGTGTGCGTGTTCAGGCGGCGGCCTCACTCTGAGACCGAGTCCACAGGCAGTGTCCATGTCGCATCGCCGTCGTCATGTGGAAGCCAGTCTCTTTTGGCTCGTAGAGGCTAGAAATGCTCGTGCGGAGTCTGGCAGTTGAGCCATCCACGAGGCAGTGGCGATGCGACTGCACACGGAAACAAGGCCAAACTGGCGTGTGTACCCACTTCCGGAGGCTGCAGTAGCGAGAGCAGCAGATCTCGCCTCTTGTCAGAGGCCATGTTGACGCGTAGACTCATGCAGTCGAGGATGCGATGCGATCGAGCAAGAGGCGGAGGAGAATAGACGCACCAAGTAGACGGGAAATCGGATCTGAGCCGCATATGTAGCCTCTTTTTGAGAATAACCGATCAGAGTGGATCAGATCAGAAAAAATCAACCCAGCTCAGATCAGATCGGATCGGATCGGATCAGGTGAGAGAATATCATATCAGATTAGTATAACTAAGGCGAGATAGGATCAGGTAAGATTAGTTCAGATCAAATGTGATCCAATCAGAATAAGTTCAGGCCAGATTAGATAAGGTTATGGAAGATAGAATCAGTTCAGGTCTAATCCGAACAGATCAGCTAAGAATCGATTAAATAGGATAAGATAAAATACGATATTATAGA